GAAGAATCTACTACAACGTAATTCTAAAAAATGTTTCAATGTTCAATTCTCACACAATGCAAAAATAGACTTAACTCATACACATGATTTATATGTGATTGAACATGTTAAAATTTATTCATAAGATATTATACTGGACAATGGGATAAATTGGACGGAGTTATGTGTCATAAAAAATCAAGAAACAACTATGTTTTTAATATTTTTTATTTGTACAAAATTTAATCATAAAATTAGATGCAACTTCTTATAAAAAGATAAAATTCGTATAAGAAAGTTATATCCGATTTTGTGAAAAATGTTGGTAGCATGAAGTTTGAAACTCCCAAAGTCATGTTTAAGATGTCAAATTGGCCAGAGAAAGATTGGGGGGAAGATTGTCTCAATGAAGAGTAAAATTATCCAAAAAGCAGATTGCAAAACTCGACTAACCAACAGCCTTCCACAATACTTTCTCACTAACAATTAAATAAGTTAGACAAAAAAAAATAAAAAATTCATAAATGGGTCCCAAAGATCTTTCACCAAATCACGTCACCGGAGCCACCTAGGCATCAAGGAATCAAAAACTTTTCAATCCCTCCCTCTCTCCGTATCTTATCCTAACTGTGAAAATTAATTGGATTTCAATAAATTGCATGCATTTAAGCCATAATTAATGGGTAATTACTCAGTTACCAAAACATCATCTAAATTGTAAACATAATACTCCAAACCGGGGCATGCTGAATTATTTTATTAGGCAGTTAGAAGTCAAATGATGACTCATTTATTAATTTGTGTGTGTACAATTTTCGACTACACTGTCAATCAGCACTCAATTGAAGAACACTGGCAGAATAGATTAAGCCCGAACGACCTGTCACAAAAAGAAGAGATTTCGGCGGTGGTTCATCCACCCGGGGGCACCTCGACGATCAAGGTCAATTATCTCTCAAAGATAGCAAAAGTGCTTAACTCACTATTCAAGAACATAAAAAGCATACCTTAGACCCATGAAGGTGCCTCTCTTTTTGTTGGCTTATTTTTCCTACGAAAGAAAATATTATAAATGCGAGCGTGCCAGTAAGGATTGAAAAATCCTTACAGATTAAATTCAAGCCAATTATCAAGCGATTGTGTTGATGGTTCTTTTGCCTCAACAAAGAGGACTTCAAAATTTCCAAAGTGTAGAGAAAAGAAAAATTAAAAGAAGAAAGGGAGATGGAGAAAGACGTTGAGTGAACAATCAAAGTAATAATTACTTACCTCTACTCCTATTCTTCGAAAAGGAAGTGCATGAAATACTTCGAAATGAAAGTGCTGAAAATAAATGCTTCGAAATATAAAGCTAAACTAAACACATCAAAATAGCTTAAATTAAGCTGAAAGCTGAAATAAGCTGTAATTAAGGATCACTGTGTTTAGCCTCTGTTTGGCAAGTTGGTTCTTGGGCTTTTTTGGCTATTTTAGCCACAAAAGACAAAATAGGCTATTTTAGCCATAACAAACAAAACATCACATCCAACCCATAATCATTACATTCTTCTCTCATAAAAAAACTCAAAAAAGTCAAAAAGCCATGATTTGGGCTTTTTTGACTATTTTAGCCACAAAAAACAAAATAGGCTATTTTAGCCATAACAAACAAAACATCACATCCAACCCATAATCATTACATTCTTCTCTCACAAAAAAACTCAAAAAAGTCAAAAGGCCAAAAAGCCCTTCTCAAACCAAGCTTTTAAGCCCAGGCTAAAATAGCCAAAAAAGCCAAAAAGCCAAAAAGCCAACCCACTTCCCAGTCATAACAAACAAAACATCACATCCAACCCATAATCATTACATTCTTCTCTCACAAAAAAACTCAAAAAAGTCAAAAAGCCAAAAAGTCCTTCCCAAACCAAGCTTTTAAGCCCAGGCTAAAATAGCCAAAAAAGCCAAATAGCCAAAAAATTACTAAATTAGCTTGTTTCCAAACGAGGCAAATCATCTGTCTCAATCTTTTTTGGTCTTCTTTTTATCACAAAATAAGAGCTAAAAAATATTTGGAACATAAGAAACAGGAAAAATAGTGAAACAGAGTATCATCAGCTCATTATCATCCTTATTAGTAATATATGTCCACTTGTTTATATGTTTACACAAAATCTATATATATATGTATCACTTTCTTGTGGAATCTACAAAAAAAAATCAAAGCATGACAGAGGCAAATATTGGACAGACCATGTGCTTTAGTGATCTAACAAGATATCTTTGTTTCAGTTTTGTAAGAAACCTCATACCTGATTACCAAAATCAATTGTTTTTATGATCACCAACCAAAAACAATTTTTAACCAACTTATTCGATTGTGCACCAATGTGGCAATAACCACTTCAGAGCACTACAAAAAAATTGACTTTTTGCGACGGTAAAATACCGTCGCTAATGCTCCTAATACCGTCGCTAATATTTTTTGCGACGGCAAAATGACTTTTTGCGACGGTAAGAGGGGGGTCGCAACTGCAGGGGTTGCAAAAGAGTTTTTGCGACGGTAAGTACCGTCGCTAATGTTTTGCGACGGCATTTTTTACCTTTTGCGACGGCACCGTGCAGTCGCTAATAACGTTTGAAATTTCTTGACTTTTTTGCGACGGTCCTATTTTACCGTCGCTAAAAATGTTATTTGAGACGGCAAAAAATACCGTCGCTGATAGTCTTTTTTTTATAAAAAAAAAACTATTTTTTGCGACGGTGTATACCGTCGCAGAAAGTATAAAAAATATGAAATTTTCTATTTTTTGCGACTGTTAATGCCGTCGCAAAAAATATTAAAAAATAATAAAATTTCTATTTTTTGTGACAGTATAATGTCGTCGCAAAAAGTAAAACCTATAACAAAATTAATAAAAATATTAAAATTTTCTATTTTTTCCGACGGTGGTGCCGTCTCTCACTCTCTAAGAGCTAATTATTTACATTCCATTCACAAAAACATCATAACATAAAATAAAAATAAAAATTGATCAAACCATCAAATTCAATATTTTACAAAGAATAATTAAACTGTACATGTTCATAAAAGCATATTTAAATTATAAAATTCACCCAAATCCGTAATAATTTCAGGTTCTGATTTTTTCATACTATTATTGATTTTTACAGGGCCTGGTTGTTCATCTATTGGGGTTGGAGCTTTCTGTGAGCATGGACCTTTTAAACCAACTGAACATGTTTTGGTCAAAAATTATTATAGCTGGAATAAAGGCAACCTTCAAATTCTATCTCTCTCTCTCTCTCTCTATCTCTGAGTTGTGATTTCAACTGCCAATAAATAACTCAAAATTAATGTTTCTATAGAAGCAAACATGCTATAATCGGAGTCACCTGCAGGAGTTGGCTTCTCTTATTCAGCTAATAAATCCTTCTATGCATCAGTAACTGACGACATGACAGGTTTTTCTTGAATGATTCATTTCATATGTTGAAAACCTTTATTAACAACAAAGGGATAATCTATCCTTCCAAGAATTCTGTATCTGATGAAGATAAAATCAATCCACAAGTCATAACCTAAATCCAAAATTAGAGCAACTATTTGAAATTTTATAATGTTGTCATTTATGTTAAGAACTTCATCTTTTTGATTGAACTAATTTGTGGGAATAGTTTTGAGACACTACTGCTAAACAATTCTTGGATATTTTATCTAAATTAACTTTGCATTTGCCTTTTCTTTAGCACAAGACAATCTTGTTTTCCTTGAGCATTGGTTTAACAAATTCCCGGAATACAAGAACAGAGACTTCTATATTACAGGGGTTATGCTGGTATGCATAATTTCAATAAGCATCACTAATGCTATGTTTGGCAGCACAGAATTCATGCTTTCGATTTGGAAAAAAGAGATTATCTCAGTTCAAATTTTGAACTAAGATGATTTTCTTTTTCAAAATTCAAAGGCATGAAAGAGTTTACTAATCACTATCAATTTCAATACAACATGACAATTCTGTTTCTTGACAGGACACTACGGTCCACAACTGGCACCACTCATTATTCAATCCAAAATGAAGTTCAATCTCAAGGGAATAGCCTTGAGTTTAAAAATAGAAAGAAAATTACCCAAACCCACCTTTTTTTTTTTTCTTCCTAATTTCTATTTGAATTAATTTCAACTCCAAATAAAATAATCCGATTTTGTAGTGCTTGCAGATAGGAAATCCACTTCTGGAATTCAACACTGATTTCAATTCAAGAGCTGAATACTTGTGGTCTCATGGGCTGATATCAGATGCTACCTATGAACTATTCACAAATGTCTGCAACTATTCCTAGATTAGAAGGCAGTCCCAAACTGACACTCTTACCCCTATTTGTTCTGGAGTAAACAATCAAGTTTCAAGAGAGATCAGTAAATTTATCAACAAATATGATGTCACTTTCGATGTCTGCTCATCATCCGTTGGTTCACAAGCACAGGTTCTTAATCAATTGGTAGGCCTAGATCTCCAGCTCTCCTATACTTGTTTGTTTCTTTATCTTTAGGAAACTCTTGTTTTCCTTTTCTTTTACTGTGTTAATCAGTTTTGGCTCCATCTATATCAATCTTCATTTACAGCAAGATACAAAGAACATAGATGTCTGTGTAGAAGATGAAACGGTTAGTTACTTGAACCGGGAAGATGTACAGAAAGCTTTCCATGCGCGGCTTGTTGGAGTCACTGCATGGAGTGTTTACAGCACGTAATAATCCTCATCTTGTTGCAGAAAATGAAAAAAAGAAAGAAGAAAGAAAAAAAATAATTTCAACACAATAATCATATTCGGAGTTCCCATCTTTATATAGAATCAACAAAAACATTTTGAATATATAACACGAATTGTGTAGCCTCCACAGCCTAGTTAAGAAATGGGTAGATTAGATTGAATGGGATCTGCCAAGGCAGTGTTTGAATCATGGATTTAGCTTATATTTCATTGGTGAATGAATTGGCAAAGGAGTTGGAATTGAAAACCACTGTTCCATAAAACCAAAAATTAACAAAGTGAAATAGGGAACTAAATAAATAAATTCACTACAAAAAATTGACTTTTTGCGACGGTAAAATACCGTCGCTAATACTTCTAATGCCGTCGCTAATACTTTTATGAAAACTTATATTCAGTTTACGTATTTTTGTGAAATCATTTATGTAAATTCATGAAAACTTATATAATTTTGTGGAATGGTTGCATACAATGTGTATGGCACACCGGGAGATTTTTCATTATTATTTGTGTGCTGAGTTGAGTAGGTGTTGAGAAATGTCTTAGTACAATTAAGTTTCAATTACTTACTCATAGCCCTTTTTTGTGATCAAGACCTAATGATTTGGTAAAGCAAAAAAGACCATACAAAATGAAGCAGAGAAACATCTTGAATCTTCTGGTAAGCATGATATGTCACTTCTGCCTAATCCAAGACTCATATTTTCCTAACTTTAGCTTTCTCAAAAGCCACTTTCAACTTTGCACCATCAAGAATCTTGAAGTGGAACAAATATCAGTAAAACACTTGTTAACAAAAATCCTTAAACTAATTACGACCACAAAGTTTGCAATCACTACCTAGATGCCAATACAAAACTTGTGAACTAGCAACATAATCTTGAACTAGCAACATAATCTTGAAACAGATCTGATACAGAAATGAACAGATTTAGTTCTAATCACAGATTTAATTCCAAACAGAAATCAACAGATTCAATTCCAAACAGTTGATATCTCAATGGATTAGGATGATGGCAGAAGAGCGAGTTTCACCAGTGATGAGTATTACAGCATCAATTGGGGGGGTTGGGGGGTGTTTAATGACAAGATGATTAGCTACTTTTACTCACCGATGTGAAATAAAGGCGTGTCCGCACATGTCGTTCTGGTGTTTTTACATTGGCGTACCTAACAGACACAAACCAGGAAATAGAGGTATAATTAATAAGACAAGTGTATTCCATAGAATGTGTATAAGAATTCCTTTCAGTTTCTATTATTTCATATAATATGTATCCCATATTCTAATTTCTAAAGAAAAATTAATCTATCAACTGTGTGTGTGTCTACTTGGGTATAATGAATCAAAAGGTTCAAATATTCACTTTGGATCCAAGCGGTATTTGGTTTCTTTCTCATCGTCATCATCCTGATCCATTGAGATATCACTGGTGAAACTCGCTCTTCTGCCATCTTCATTCTTACAGTTCTAATCACAGATTTAATTCGAAACAGAGAGAGACTGATGAGATGAGAGAGAGAGAGAGAGAGAGAGAGAAGCTTACCTATGAGATCGATCGGTGCAATGAGAGAGTGAGGTCGATCGGTGAGGAGTCGATCTTGCGAGTTTGATCGGTGTGGAGTCGATTTGTGCAGATGAAAATGAGAGTGAGAAAGAGACTGATGAGATGAGATGAAATGAGAGGAATGAGAGAGCTGTGTGCATATTAGGGTTTTTTTTGGGGATTTTTGGTTGAGGGGGGAAAAACCAGCGGGAATGGAAAAGGGGGAAGGGATTAGGGATTTTTGACATTGGGGATTTTGGGTTTGGGGTAGGGAACGAGTGGGAATGGAAAAAGGGGGTGGAAATTTTTTTGGAATTTTTTTTTATTTTTACTATAAATGAATATTTAAATAATAAAATGATTTTTTTTTTTTGCAACGGAAGATTTGTTAAAAAAATTATTTTTTATTAAAATAATTTTTTTTTATAGTTGATGAATTTTATTTTTTACATTTAGTAAGGTTGAAAATTTATTTGTTTCATATTTATTTTAATGAATAATTTTTTTTTTATTTGGTAGAAGTAGGGATAATATTTTCCATTAAAATAAAGTTAATTTTTTGTGGTCAATGAAAATAATTTTTTTGTGACTCATTTTTTTTTTTATACTAAAAATCAAGAACTAATTTTTTGTGGTAGAGGATAGAAATGGCAGTAGTGGTGAAAGTGGTGGATAAGAGGTGATAGTGGTGGTGGTAGTGATGGTGAATGAGATAAGTGGTGAAGTTGTGGTAGTAGTGGAGGAGATAGAGTAGCGGTGGTAGATGAGAGATAATGGTAGTAGTAGTGGTGGTAGTGGAGTGGTAGCGATGATGGTAGTAATGATAGTTGTAGAGATGGAGTGACAAACTGAGCTCCCTTTCGATTTATCGATCCACTATAAGAAAATGCAACTTTTAGCGACCACTTTGTCTCTCTCTCGCTCATCACTTTGTCTCTGTCTGTTTCTCTCTCTCTTCTCTCTCTCTCTCTCTCTCTTATCTCTCTTCTCTATCTGTCTCTCACTTATCTCTCTCTCACCACCCATCTTCTCTACCATATTCACACTACTGCAAATGCCATTCCACTACTACCACTGACGACTACAATACCATCATTACGACTACTTTTGTAGTCCCTCGCTGCCACAAACCTACGGTTCTCTCTCTCTCTCTCTTGCTCGTTTTTCGCTGTGGTGGTTCAGGTGGGTCTAGTTCGTGGTGGGGCTAGATGGGAGTGCGAAGCATGGCTGGGTTGTGATGAGGCGCATCAAGACGCAACGAGGGAGGAGATAGGAGGGAACGGCGGTGGGTTTGGCGTGGAGGTGGCGAAGAAGTAGGAGGGTTGCCTAGGTAATGGCAATGGTAGTAGCCGATAAAGAAGAGGGTGGTGGTTGGGCAGTGGGGACGACTGTGGAATGAATAAGGTGATTAGAGGTGATGGTGATGAAGATTAGGTTTAGAATTTTTTTAGGTTTTGGATGTAAGAGAAGGAGAAGGAAAATGAAAATGGGAAGGAGAAAGGTTAGAGATGAGGGTAATAAATAATTATAAAATTATAAAAAAAAAAGGGGTGTAAAGAATTAAAAGTAGTGGTGTAAGTAGAATTCACACAAACACTTTTAACTCATTACATTTCTCATTTAAAATGTTTTTTTTATTCCAATATTCCTATGTATAAAATTACGTTTAAGAATGAAAGACACAAAATAAATTGATTGTTCTATTGCACATCTTCTTAAAAAGTGTGAATCATAATATTTGGATCATAAAAGAATAGTGATTAACGAAAAAAATGTGATGAATAATTAACAGAAAAACAAAATAATGAGTTTTTTTTTTTTTTTTTTGGTGTGTATGGCATATTTTTTTTTTATCGTTTTTGAATTAAAATCTGACGGTTGTTTGACTTTTGCTCAGTGCACTAGAACAAAACAAAACCAAACAACCTAGAGTCCTACCGCCGAACAAACCAAATCACGCAAACAATCACTACCGAACAAAATTGAAACATCTTACACCATTGTCAAACGTACAAAATCTATCATTTTGGCATCTCACAACTGAACACACCTTACATTTTCCGCAGCCACAAATAAACAAAAGTTATGGGTTCAACGAACCAGAACCGAAAGTCCTTGGTTTGAGTCATTTTGTAATTAGAGGTGTACACGATCGATTCGATAATTTGAGAGTAAATTATAATCGAATGGTATTTGAAGATTAACGGATTGAAATACGATTTGAACAGTTTTAGACAGATGACAGATTGAAGAATGTTTAACCAATTATCAAGCTTTTGTATGATATATAATACTAATTTGTATAATATTTTTCATATTATATAACACACGAATTTACATAATATTTTTTATATATAAACTACTAATTTGTAATAATTTTCATATTAAATTCTTCTCACTTTTATTTTACTTTAATATTTCATTATAAATTAAAAATATATATTATATTATATATTAACTATAGCAGCGCGGAACGGTTTTTGAAGGCAGATTATAAATTTTAAAATTTAACCGTGCTTAACGATAGAGCGATACAATTAATACGAATCAATACGATTTTAAAGGATTAAGCGGTATTTTGCACAATTTATTTGTAACTGTCATTTACTTGAATGAAACTGTTGAAATATGTTCATCCTACTCATGATGATGCATGCAATTGTGAAGCCACCTCACTAGACATTTGACCACTCAATATGCTGATGAATGATACAAACTTAAATAAAATGTGAAGAATGATGTACAGTGCTAAAATTAATTTAGGATAT